GTGGAAATTGAACCACGCCTTCAACCCCTCGACAACGAACGGCTACATTTGAGAGGTGCCGTCACAAGCTCTGAGGTAAGATTAGACATCAAGGCGGGAGGTTTCTGGTCAAGAGGAATTACGGCATTTTTCGATGTAAGAGTTACGCACGTTAACTCCAAGTGTTACCAGAACAAGACAACATTTGAAGTATTCAAGGAGCAAGAGGACGAGAAGAAACGCAAGTACCAGCAGCGGGTACTAGATGTAGAGATTGGTTCATTCACACCTTTAGTGTCTGGAACCAATGGCGGAATGGGAAATGAGTTTCAGCGTTTCCAGAAGCATCTTGCAGATAAGATAGCTCAGAAGGACACCGAGCCGTATAACACCGTTATCGCATGGCTCAGGACACAAATCTCGTTCGAATTTCTAAGATTGGTACACGCATGCGTGAGAGGTTCACGAACGCCTGTTGAAAGCAAGATAGAACACTCCTTAGACTGCAAAATAAACGTCGCCACCGTGGGCATCTAGAGGTTTTTTTTTTGGGCAATTTTCAAGCTAAATGCTTTTGTATTATACATGATTTTGAATTTATATGAAATTTCGTATATTAATTTTATCAATTGTATTTTGTAAATAATCTTGAGTTGTGAATAAAGTTATTAATTTTAGATAAATGATTTTGGAAATAATCAGGAATGTTTTGGTCTTTACCTTCACGCTCTCTGACTGTTTGCAGGCGTACAGTATTTTCCACCTGTTGAAAAATCCTTAATTCATCAAGGCACATACATTATAAATGTTTTCTTCTTACACAGAGGCTACATGCACAATCTTATTCCAGACACGTGCTAATGTGCTAATTTGTAGCAGTGTCTTCTTACGCCTATCGTTATTTGGAACTAAAAGAAATTCAAATACGAACACTTTAAATTAAGAAACGTACCTCTACCACAGCTTTTACAAAAATTTGCATCTTCATCAACTTCCGAACCACACGCGGTGCAAAACATCGTGAGCTCGAAAAATGGCGGT